GTGTCAGTGACATAAAAAACAAATTTAATGCGACATGACCATTCAAACAGCAGTCGCTTTTTGAAACATCAGACATGTATCGGATTCAATACCACATACAAAAGTGACCCAGATCGGATTTGAAAATATCGGATTTGTGCTGTTCACACTGTCATACCATGATCGGATATGGGTCGCACAGGGTTAAAAAAGTCAGATTTGATGCGCCTTCGCCTGCAGTGTGAACGTAGCCTAAGTGCACCCTTACTGCTTCCGTTAGAATTAAGAGGAAAAGATGCAGCCTGGTGCTGCTAATCAAATACACTTGATTAATTGATGATCAGCAAGTGCGAGCACCACTATAAACACAGAAGTTTTTGGCAGTTGTTGTGCGTTAACAGCAGTGGATCTCCCAGTAAATTCACACAAAGGTCAGAGTTACATCTCAGATGCTACAGGCCTTAGTATATTAAATGTTCAACAGTAAAATTTGAAAAAGACTGAACAAGTATGGATTCCTTAGAAGGGTTCCCAGGAAAAAGCCTATTCTGTCTAAATAGAAAATTGCAGACTTCTGGAACAATGTCCTTTGGACATATCAGTCCAGAATGGAGGTGTTTGGCAACAATGCACAGCGCAATGTTTGCTCATACCAACTTTCAAGCACGGTGGTGGGGTGATGATGATTTAGGCTTGTTTTGCAGCTACGATACCTTGGCACCTGGCAGTCACTGAGTTGACCATGAACTCCTCTCTATATCAAAGTTTACAGAGGAAACCATCTGTACAAAAACTAAAGCTTGGCTGAAATTGCATCATGCAGCAAGACAATAATCCCAAGCATAGCAGCAAATCTACAACAGAACAGCTGAAAAAGAAAAGAATCTATTGGGACCTTAAGAGAGCTGTGCATAAAATGCAAGGAAACCTCAATGAACTAAAACAACACTGTAAAGAAGAGTGAACCAAAAGTGGACTGGAATTTCCTCCTTCATGTGAAAGGCCGATTAAGTCATAAAGAAAAGGTTTACTTCAAGTTACTCCTGCTAAGCGTAGTTCTACACGTGGCTGAATTATGGGGTTACCATATTTTTCAGACCATAAGGTGCACCGGATTATAAGGTGCATTAAGTGAAACAAAACAGTCTGATAAGTCAAACTTTACTCAACTCATTCTTCTTGCTTCCTCCACTTCCGTACCATTGATTTATTAATGTTGAATTCTCTTGCAGCTGCTCTATTCCCATGTTGTTGCAGTATATTAATGACCAACTTTATATTGTGGATGGATTATCTCACTTGTTCTCCTGACTGAAGTTCGGTCTGTTTAGAGCATCCTGCTATGCGACTGCATTTGTCTCTAACCATCAGGAACATTCTTGTTAACCTTTATCGAGTGGAAAAAGTTAGCATTCATCCTCCAGCTTCACTGTGTTTATGTTATGCAAACCTAGCTGTGTCGCTAGCGATCACGTAGCACATCATTATATACCAGCTAGTTCAACTTTAGTAACAACTACAGAAGTCACTGCTGTTTAGTTTTCTGTCTTCATTTATGTTGGAAGTGTTAGCAGAGCTGTACGTTTTAATTCTTTTCAGAAATCTCTCAGTCAGAACATGCTATATCATGTTTAGGTGGAAACTAGCGAGCTAACTTCCTGTTAACTTCCAACTCCGTTAAAATGTAATAAATTCTGTTTTCATGGATGCCTAGATGTTAAACTTAATTGTTTTGTTTTTTTTTATTTTTTTCCTTCTTCTTAAGAAGATTGTTACACCTGGTAAAGCAGTAACACCGATCATTTTATTAAAGATGAAAGAATTTGGACAGTTTTTAATGCTCAGTGATGCCGCAGTGATTGTTTGACTTTGGGGACCTGAAGCGGAGTTCAGACCCAGATTACTCCGCGAGGCTCCCGACTTCGGTACTGTACTGTACTGTTGGTTTTTGAGAAAATTAAAGGATTTTAAGTGCGCCTTATAGACCAAAAAATACGCTTGTTAGTTTCACAGTACAGCATACAGTCATATGAACCCCCCGTATAAAATCTTGAAAGTCATTTAAAATGTATGTAATATGTACTCTAATGGTTAACAGTGAACAACACTGTGAGATGAACTCACTAGTGGATGTCCACTTTCCCCATTTTCATGTATATTCATTCCTACTATACCTTGTAACCAGTCGACTCCCTCCTGTAAACCGTCTCCTGTTAGAGCATTGGTGGCACTGAAAAATATCAAAATACACACTGATAGAAGCACAAAGCAGAAAACTTTTAAGTGACCGCTTTGCCAAATCCACATCCTTAATACTGAGGGTGCAAAGGCAATGAAAGAAATCCATTAACCACCGTGTAACAAATCTCTATTTACGTTTTTTTGTCAGTCTTGTGATTTAACATGGGATACTCTTAGTACGCTTAGTAGTGTGTGGTGTCACTTGCCCAAATAAAGATATAATGACCTTTCCACGAAAATCATGCTCAGAACATGGAATTAATTTCTTTCTTCCATGTTTAGATTTAACAATGTGCACCAAGTGACACTGTATAATTCATAATATATGAAGATAACACATATAATAAGATATATAATATATCTTATCTGCAACCAGGATAAAAAAAGAAAAAAGAAATCGCAGAAGTTTTTGTGTATTTTTTGTTCTGGTGAAGGATAAAAAAATATTCATTTTCATTGTCAAGTGTTAACGAGCTTGAGTCAATCAATAGGGTAATTTAGTCTCAGGTCACTGAAGTAAATGTTCTAGTGTAACAGTGAAGAGATTTTTGCTGGGTTAATATGACATCTTGTGGCAGATGGCAGATTTATCCTGTCTTCCTCCCATCATCCCAACTGGTTACTTCCTGTTAAAAGGGAGTTTTTCCTTCCCACTGTCGCCAAAGTGCTTGATGATAGGGGGTCATCTGATTGTTGGGTTTTTCTCTGTATGTATTATTGTAGGCTTTACCTTACAATACAAAGCGCCTTGAGGCGAGTGTTGTGATTTAGCGCTGTATAAATAAAACTGAACTAAATAAAATAGATGTTCATCAGAACTATTTCCAGTCAAACAATATCAATGTGCCATTATTAATATCCTGGACTTCTGCCGAGAGGAAGTGATCAGTACAGTTTGGGCATCTTAGTCCAATATGATCGTACACCAGACAATAACAAAAAAACAAACTTGCATGCTGTGTAATAAAACTTGTTCTGCCCTTGAAATGGACTTTTGTATAATGTGGTGCATCAGGAAAACCGCGAATGGTGCTGGTATGCTCACATCAGACTGCAGTGTAGCTGTTGTGTCTATAATAACTACACTGCTTCAATGGCAATGACATAAAAGTAAAAGCTCGTACCAGATGTGCCAGGGTTTGTCTTTGATGTTCTCCAAACACAGCAGCTGTGAGACTTTAACTGAAGTCAGAGCATCCCTCATATCCATCTTATTAGCAAAGAACAGAATGGGGATCCTCCGGTGTTTAATATCTGCAAGGACAGAGAGATTCAGTTTCAGAGTTGTGCTGTTAATTAGAAATGTTATTAGCTTCAAAATAAATGAACAATACTTTGAAACTAAATTTAAAAAGGCATTTAAAAAAAGAAACCTTTAAACTTGATTTAATTGTACACAAAATAAATATGTGAACAAGTGGCTAAAAAAAAAATCCTTACCAGGATGATTTAGTAATGTGTCCAGTTCTTCTTTGGCCACTACCATCCTCAGTTTGTCTGCGCTATCAATGACAAATATGATAGCCTGGCCCTCCCTGGGAAGAAATGAGAGATATTAATTAATGTATATCAAAACAAAAATCTTGCAAAGGCTGTTTTGGGATCACACTCACTTGTAGTAATGTTCCCAAAGGTTTCTGTATCTGCCTTGACCTGACATGTCAAACACTGTGAAAGAAAGACTAGAAGAAGAGAAGAAAATCACATGTGTATGAAGTTTATGTAAATAACGAGACAAGCAACAAAATATATTAATCTGTAACAGATGTTCAATAATGTAAAGGATGACAATAATTTATTACTGGGTTTCAATTCAATATTAAACCACAGCAGCTACCTGGATGTCTTGAACTTCTCTATGCTGAAGCCAATTGTTGGGACAATATCTTGTACCTGGGCCTGAAAAAGAAGGGTACCATGTTCTCATTAGCAGCTTCAGGTGGGAAAAACACAGTATTTAGTAGTAGTAACATTCCCTCTATAGTACTGTCTTTTCCTCATTGTATTGGCTACATCTCACCCTATCCTCGACATCCTCCTCTGTCATACCAACCCCCTGCATGCCCCCCTTGACTACATCTACAAATCTTCTCTGTGGTTTTTCACTTTTCCTCCTGCCTGGCAACTCCACATTCAACATCCTCTTTCCAGTATATTCACTATCCCTCTTCTGCACAAGTCCAAAGCATGTCAGACTTGCCTTCCTAACTTTGTCTCCGAACCGCTTGACCTGAACTGTCCCTCAGATGTAGTCATTTCTATTCTTGTCCATTCTGGTGAGTGCAAACAAAATCTGAGCATTTTCAACTCTGCCATCTTTAGCTGTGCCTCCTGTCTTTTTGTCAGTTCCCCCGTCTCCAAACCATACATCATCGCAAGTCTGACTACCAGTGTGTGAATGTGTGTGTGAATGGGTGGATGACTGGTGTGTAAAGCGCTTTGGGGTCCTTAGGGACTAGTAAAGCGCTATACAAATACAGGCCATTTACCATCTTCTAAACCTTTCGTTTTACTATTGCTGGTATCCTTCTGTCATAAATCACCCCCGACACCCATCTCCACCCCTTAAACCCCACCTTCACCTTTCTCATCAGCGTTATCAACATAAAGATGAGTGATGCAACATCTCTTGTATTAGAAAGACTTACATTCGAGGGCTTCAGTCTGTTGATGATGGTGGTTTTTCCACTGTTGTCCAGACCGAGACACAGCACGTTCACCTCCTTCTTTAAGCCCAGCCATCCCGCCAACTTGTCAAACAACCCCATTGGCTACTCAGCAACCATCAGCTGTCTTTATGACCTTCAAGTAACATAACATAAACACAGAAACATTTAGAATACAGCAATACTTTACAGCAAGTGCTGGAGATTATACAGGGTACTTCACGTGTCCTGGAAAATTCACAACATGAGGACCTGTAACTCTAAAGAAGCTGTGGTCACCCACTGATCACCCACCTGTTGCTAATCACATGCAATGGCTATCAGAAACAAACAAGCCAGTCCTAGGAACTACATTTTTAAATGTTATACTTTAGCCTGGTGACCCCGAATGTAATCACACGGTAACTGGGTTGTGCGACATAATCTGTTGTTGTTCGATAACATAGCCACTTCTACAAAAATAATGAGTAATCTAGACTTTATGGGAATGGGAACGTGTCCTGTGTGGGAAACATTTCATATTTCATTGCTAGCATAGTTACAGTACTCATCGTTAGCTCTGAGATCACCAAAGGGACAGCGAAAACTGAACAAGTTCACATTTCTGCTGCATAATTAGCATTCACACTCAAGTAGCTGCAATAACAACTGGACGGCATAACGCCAAGAAATAGTATTTGTGTTTATGCCTCGCCAAACCCAACAACATTTAACCTTGTTATCGTTAGCCTCAGCTAACGTGCTTAGTGGGCTCTACAATATAATTAACAGTCGCTACTGCTACTTCGTTAATCTCTTGTTGTTACTGAAGCTAGTTAGCCTTAGCCAACCTCTTTCCACAAGCTTTACATCAGCGAGCCCTCTTAACGCGGTAGGCTTTTAAAGCCTTGTGCGGTACTCGATATTTAAATGAACAGTCTCAGCCATCAAGGCAATATAGTTCATCGTTGCGTTACCACGACAGCTAGTGATGCTTTAGCTATGGTTAGCTTGTATTATCCTGTGCTAAAGTGTATATTGAAGATGTACTTTACCTGTAATTTTCGCTTGAGTGCTTACGTTCGAGTTGCACTTCCCTTCCCTTCCCTTTACTTCACTTCACTTAATATTAAATCGTTTTTGCATTCATTTCTCTGCTTGCCTCTTAAGCTCCATGACCTGCTGAAAAACCCACTGAGTTATTTACACTGTGTTGCTGGGAGACCACCGTATTGACTCTAGTCTGACCCCTACAGGGCAGAACAAAACTTACTTCCAACCTGATACCTTTAGCAGCCAGGTTTTAGGCACGCAAGGTGTGTCAAACATAAGGCCTAGAAGGCAGATTCACCCCGGCAAAGACTGAAATCAGGCCCACTGGAAGGCTTTGGAAAATGTGAAGATTTTTGAACTGTGTTTTACTGTATATATGTTTTACAGCTTTCTCTATTGATATGGACCTCCCCCACTGCCTTTCACACTACACTAAAGTAGTGAAGTAATCGATAAAATTCCAAAAAGACAAATAAATAAATAAATATCAAATGCTTAAAAATACCTTTATTTATAACTATATTATACATTATGGTTATTGTAAATACAGAACCGTCTGGGGAATGAGCTGCCGGAACATTTTCTGTATTTTTACACATTTATCATGTAAAGAAAACTAATACTGTTGGAAATGTACTTCTTTTTTCTTCTGTTTAAATATTTCAGGGATTAAATGTTTAGTTGACTGTCTTTACATGGACAGAAAGGGGAATTTCATTGGGCCAGCCCACTTAAGGATCAAAGTGGGCTGTATGTGACCCAGGATGAAAAAGGTGTTTGACACCCCTGCTCTAGGTGACATTATGGCACAAGCAATGGCATGTTCATACTGATCTTTACTGACAGTATCCACTTTCCAAAACAAGTTATTCTATTATCTAGAATAAGGGAATGCAAGGAAACACACCAAAAACACAATCAAAGAAAATACAACCATGAAACAATTAATCTGAAATTATCATAATTAATCTGAAATTATCATACACAAGAAACATTTTTTAAAAGTGAAGCAATAGTCTGTTTGATTGTCTTAATTAATCTACTGATGTCTTATAGGCAAGACATTGCTAACATACTGAGAACCAAACTACTTTTATGTTAACCTTCACTGTCCAAAATATTGTGTAACTACATATTTTCACTGTTAAGTGCAAATCCCTATAGACAGTTCTGATATAAAATAATGACTGTAAGCCATAAAAAAGCGACATTTCTCACAGAATCTAAAAATGTGTACATACTGAACACCTACTTTAGCCAGACATGGCTTTCACCTAGCACCTTCGATAAGCATCCATGTGACAAACTCACCTGACAGTGACACGGAAAATGTGTCAGTCTTCTGAGTGACAATTAAGATAACTTGTTTTTGAGTGAGAGATGGCATCTATGGACATCTGTGTGTGTGTGTGTGTGTGTGTGTGTGTGTGTGCACGCGCGCGAGTGTCTGAAATTGGCTCCCTTGCCACTTCATTAGGTATACCTGTTCACCTGCTTGCTAAGGAAAATATCTTCTCAGCTAGTCACAGAGCAGGAACTCAGTGCAGGTCAATAAGACCTGCTGAGGTTCACACTGAGCATCAGGAAAAAAGATGATTTA